GGCTGGACATTGTTCTTAACCAAATCTGTGTTCCGCCAACTTTGGAGCCAATTTTCCCTCCCCAGGCAACACCCCAGTTTTACTCAGGCTGGCGAAATCAAAAGAAACAACAACAACAAACCAAACCTGGGGTGAGAAAAGGGGACTCCAGCAACAACCAGACAGTGGAATCTGCATCTGAGCACTTTCCACCTTTGAGACATACTCCATTTGGGTTTCACAACACGATTAGGCTTTATCAAATGAAAATCGTTTGCAGCAACAACAACCCCAAACCCCCTCTAAACCAGAAACATTATTTGGTGAAACCAGGTTTGCCTCATGGAGGACGGCGGGGCCCTCGTTTGGGATGCAGAGGACTTCTCCAGCCTTGGAGAGAATTAAACACAGTGAGGATCTCTTCCCTTGAAAAGAAGCACTAATCTCACTGTGAAAGGGAGCAGGAGGGTGTGGCAAGAGCCGCCGGAGACCCTGAGTAACTTGTTACCTTTTTTGAAAAATAGAAGCTGGGCCCCTATTTGCTCTAGTTTTATCCGATATCTCAAGGTGAGGGGTTGTCCTTGGAATACACTTCACTAGCAAAACTTATTTTTAAGTTCAGCAAATTCTCACTCTCTCGGCCGCTTGAGATAAAATAAAATGTCTGTCTACCTACCTATCTCCATTCCGCAGAGTCCATAGTCTCTATGGGGAATCCACATTGTCCTCATTGGCCGGGCAAAGGGATGAAGGTGAGGAAAGTTCCCAAGCATGGAGGGGGAGCCAAGAGGGAGGCAGAGGGGCAGTGTTCGCCTCCGCTTCCCAGCCCGGCAGCGCGCAGTTCCCCACGTCTGGCGCTAGATGTCCCTGCAAGTTTTCCCGTGGCTTTCGGGGCCCTGGAGCTAGAGGCAGGCGATGGGTCTGCGCAGCCCCAGAACCCAGGAAGAAAGTACCGCCCAACCACCGCACCACGACCGTCCTCCGTGGGGCGCGGGATTGCGACGGGAGAGGGAGGAGGAAAGACCGAAGCAACCGGAGAGACTCGGATGGGACAGATAGCTAGAGGCTGGCCTGCTGAGGGATGGCAGCATAAAGTTGCCACTACGAAGTGAGGACTGTAGTCGCCAAATCCGCTCTTCCCTTATGCAGCGAAACCTGCAGCAGTGGAAACCTCACTTTGCCCAAAGACAGGGAGCCCGAGGCTCGAAGCCCAGGCTTTTGCGGTCCTACTGTCCCACCTCACCCTGCAGCCCCAGCTCTTGGGCGAGCACGCTTCCCACGGCAGGCCCGCAGGTTGTTGGCCCCAGCGTCTCGCAGCCCCCAGCGTGAGAGGAGACCTAGGCCACGGCAGCGGCAGCCGCGGGGCTTAGCTGCAGCTCGGGCTTTACCGGCGCCCCTCCCCTCAGGCAGCCTGGACAGATTTTTATTGCCCGCAGTCATAGGCCAAAAGTGTTTACCACTTCACCTCGGAGGACCCGCTGCTGCTCAAGAAACAAATATTTAGTCTGGAAGCCTAACCAAAAAATTAGGCCTCTTTTAAGTCATTACTCCTCTAGAACAAAAAGTGCTTTTCAGTCCATGCGAAAAAGTCCTTCCCGCCCCATCTTAAAAAATTCTGCCAAAGCATGCGGGCGTGGGTTGGATTCTTGTCGTCTTTTATCTAGTGGGTCCTGTACCTTGGTAGTGGGTAAGAGACCTTGATGCTCCCAGGGGCTGCATCTAACCACCCGGAACATTAGACAGACCTGTTCCCAGCCTCTGCCTTCACATTCTGGGACCTGTGCAAGTTTTAGTATTTCATCAAAACACGTAAACAGAACTGGGTTCCTCTTGCTACCCTCTATATAGGTTCAATGGTTTTTGAGGTAGGCCTGTATTTACATAAGACATATGCAAAATGAGAGTATTAACCTAAAAAATGCTGCTCAAGGCTTTAAACAACTCTTGTGACTTTATAATCAGAGATAAGTTAAAATCATGAGCAAGTCCCTGAACCCCTCTGGCTCATAATCCCTGGAAAAGGGATAATAGTTTAAATTTCATGGCGTTGTTGTGAACCTTAGCCGAGATAACATGTAAAAAGCACTTGGAATTGCATAGTAAGAGCTTAATATAAGCTAGCCAATATTACTACTAGTGGATGTGGAATCTCTAAATAAATTAAGGGACATTAAATATTGGAATAGAATGCTCACTGTACCCCATGAAACATTACTATCTGCTACACCTAGGTTAGTGGAAACATTATAGGTGTCTTTTACTGTGAATAGTTTCGCTGACGTGGTCTCTGACATGCTTTTTATAATAAACGTGCTAGAAATGCAATATCAATGTTATTTAAAAGATGCAAAAGTAGTTTTCAAAGCCACTAATGAATGAAGGTGTTGCTGAGAAATAGTGTTTTCCCTTTCAACAGACTGAGGTCCGGTTTGGCGCAGCCTTTGAGACCAGAGGCCTCGGGTCCCAGAGGAAGGGAGGGTGTGGGAGACCCTTGGGCTGGTTGATAGAGGAAGGGGTTATCAGTTCTCACCTTAACCCCTAGCGACTGCTTTCCCGACTTGAAAACCAGCTCACAGCAGCCAAAACCGCGAGGAAAACAGATGGGGGCGCCAAACGACAGCAATAAAGGCATCCACGGATTTCCGCCCAAGCAGTGCCATGGCTCACCCACACCCTCCGCCAGGGTCTTCCACCCCCCCCCCCCGCCTCGCCACGACCGAAGCCTGAACCAAGGTGTCCCATTCAGTCCCTGGAGCAAGCGAGGACTGGATAGGGGGACCATTACCGGGTCATGGGGGCAGCGACTGCAAGGAATAAATAGTAGAGCTGGGCATTCGGGCTGCGGAGCAGGGAGGGAGCAGGTGGGGGCGTTGACAGGGCTGGGCTCCCGCAGAGCTAATGGCCCCAAAGCCAGCTCAATGAGAACTCAGGAAGCTCGGAGCTGGGTGTTCAATGGGGCAATGGCGGAGGGGACGCTGGGCCAAGTCCCAGTCCCGGTGCCGGTGCCGGAGGCCCACTCTGTGTTCCCTGCCGCCTTCCCCGTCCCCCCCCCCCCCCCGCCCCTTCCAGGCACCTCCCGCGTATTGAGCTTTCCATTTATTACCTTAAAGAGGTGGAATTGATTTTCTAAGCAAAGCTTGCGTTGTTGAAATAAGTTGGTGCCGAGGGGAACAGAAGATAAACTTTTGGCATTGACTATATGTGTGTATATGTGTATATAAATATACTTCACACCTCGCCTCCCCTTACATTCCTGACGCGCCCCCAACGGATCTAAGGTTAAAAAGAAAGAGCCAAGAGCCACGGGCAAATAGATCTCGGTTTTGCCCCTTCCACACCCCAATGTTTTGGGTGTGTCGGGAGAGAGGAGAGGAGGGGGCCCTGGTTGGGGTCTGGGTTGACGTTAAAGGCGGGGATGCAGGACCCGCGCCCAGCGTCCAGATTGTCAGGGTCTCTCAGCCGCTTCTGAAGCTGACGGACAGATCTCCGCGTCCCGTCCCTGTCCTCTCTCTCCTCCACCAGAATCCGAGAATTTCTCCCTCTCTGGGCCACTGGCCCACGGGCGGGCACAGTGCTTGGAGGGTCAGGGAAGGGTGGGGCGCAACCGCGGGAGATGAGGAGCGGCCTTGAGTGAAGATTGATCTCCGTTAAAATGGTTGCCACCGGCGTCATTATGACTATCAAAGTTATCGCCAAGAGGCTCAGCCGCCAAGCTCAGGCTGCAGGGAGCTGCAGTAAGGCTGTTCGGCAACTCTCCGAGCCCGGACTCAGTGCTGGGAATACCTGTGGCCGCAGGTAAGGGCTGGGGTTGATGAAGGGAGGAAAGAGAGAAGGAAGCAAAGCAAAGGGGAAGCGAGGGCAACGGGGACGGACGTAAAAGAAGGCTGTCTCCTCTTTCCTCTTTTGACCTCCAAATCCAGCGCCTTTGCCGCAAATAATTCTATTTGAGGAGGGAGGGGAAAATCTGGCAACGTGAAAGTGGATTCGGAGCGCCTGTATGGCGCTGTAAATCTCCACTGTGTTTAAAGTTAGCTGTCGAATTCTGCTATCAAATCGTCTAGCCTAGTTCGTTTCCCCTCGGGAAAATGAGTAGGCTAGAAGGCTTCCTATGAGCAGGATTATAAAAGTAAAACACCGGGACTTCGAGTTCAGAGCTCACTCTGCAAACGATGTTAGAAAATCAGAGAGGAACTAATGATTTCCGTTTGGAGGCGCGGGCCCAATGCACCTCCGCGGCCACGTAGCAAGAAATCGCTTTCAAAACTCTAGGATATTTCTCTCTCTCTCTCTCTCATCTCTCGCTCCCTCCCCCTCCCCCCCCCCCCCCCCCCCCCCCCCCCGGGGTGGGAGGACAACATTCAGGCTGAGATGAAGAAATAGGGAGGGAGAGAACTCCTGCGTCCTATTTGTTAAATAAAATACATATTTGGTTCTGAAATCCGACAGATAAGTAATCCAGACAGGAAAGGCAAAAGGTCTTCTTACGCAACTCTTCCTGCATCCTCCCCCTTGTCTCCCCCTACTTACGCCCCCAGCTTGTAAATGTTAGAAAAAAAAAAAAAAAAAAAAACATTCCCGAGGATCTACTCTGGAAAGTCAAAGCATTATCTATTATTTAATACGTATCTGTGTCCGAGGAAAAATGAGGAAGGCGCTGCATGATTAGGACCTAAGGGGCAACCCAGCAAACTGAGAGCGTAATGATGCCCCTAAATGAAGGGGGAAATGTGCCGCGGCGCGCTCTATTAATCAGACTGTCAATTTCACCCCCGAGGCCAAACCCCCGGGCGAGCAGAACTGGTTTGGAGCGGGCAAAGGACCGGAGCCTTCCTCACTTGTCTCTTCTCGCCTCCTACCTGGATCTATTAGTCTGCTCTGAAGCTGCCTTCATTACCCACTGACAGGAGCGTGTATTTATTTGCTTATAAACCTGTTACAATAAATGATTATTCGAACAGCGTCATTCGTACCTTAATGACGAGCGGGCGCTACTTTTTGATGAATGACATCTCGGGCTCGGAAGGATGTATGGGTCATTTTGACCAGTCATTCCCTCGCTCTGGCATCCCACATTTTTTCCGCCTCTCTCCGAAAGAGATAATAATATTTAGAGGCGTTCGCTGGGGCTGAATGAGAATTAGCCCTAGGCGCAGCCCATCATTAGGACGGGACAGCAGGGCCATTGTGACATTTTTAAGAAAGCTGAGATGATGGAAAGAATAAGAAAAGAGATGATTCTGATGGAGAGAGGGCTGCATAGCCCTCCAGCCGGCAAGAGATTCTCCAATTTGTCCGACTCGGCTGGCAATGCTGTGCTCGAGGCCCTGGAAAATTCGCAGCACCCGGCTCGCCTCAGCCCGCGCCTGCCGTCTGCCCCCCTGCACGGTGCTCTGGGAGACCTCCCCGCCAAGGGCAAATTCGAAATAGACACTTTGTTCAACCTGCAGCACCCGGGCAGTGAAACCACCGTCTCCTCCGAAATCGCTGCCGCCGCCGAGAGCCGCAAGAAGCAGGGCCATTATTCAGAGGCTGCCACCGAGGCCGAAATGAGCAGCGACGTGGAGGTGGGCTGCTCCGCGCTGCGCTCCCCCGGCGGCCTCGGCGCCTCTCAGCTCAAGGAAAACAATGGCAAAGGTAACTGCGCCGCCGCACCGCGCTCTCCAGTCCCAGCCTCTTTGCTCCTCCGCGGCCCCCGCCGGCCGTTCACCCGGCATTTGCCCCTCTCAGACCCTCCAAAAGCAAGCTACTTCGAGCTAGCACGGGCGGGGGCGGGATGCGTGCCTGGGACCCTGCCTTCTGGTCCTGCTTCTTAAGCTTTCCAACCAGGCGCAGGCCTGCGGAGGCTGGAACACCAGGCCCACCGCCCTCGCTGCTGAATCCGAGAAAATGTTTCTGCGCTCGTGTCTAAGAGTCCGAACGAGCCGGTAGACCCCTAGTCAGCAGCCGAGTTGCTTTTGGGAAAGGTATCCTGGGCAACTGCTCTGAGCTCTGCTGACCCTGAACCTTCAGGGCCAGATGGAGGGGGCATTCTTTTGGGTAAATCGGAGGAAGCCTTGCTGGGCGCCTCTGGTTAGGTCAGCGGGAGAAAGAGTGGAAAAGTAGATTCCACCCCCTAATGGCTCGGGTTTGAGCTGCTGCTGTCTCGAAAATCTTAAAATATTTGAAATCCGAAGACTCAAATAAAGGCTAGAGGGCGTACAGAAAGCCGCCCTGCGGTCTCCAGACCATGGCAAACCCAGAGCTTCCCAAACTGCGCCCAGAGGTAGGCATTTTCCCTAAGCCACTTTTCCTCCTTGGTTGAAAATTTCTAATTATTAAAAAGAAATCTTCTAATTCTGTTTCTATTATTTGCTTATGAAGGACTCCCCAAACTTTATTGATTCCATTAACGGCAGCAATTTGTAAGCATGACAGACCCTATCAATTCCGACAGCGACTCTCCTTCCTGACGGGGCTTCCCGATCAGCGCGCAGCACCAGTGCAGGGCTGTCGGCCCTACAGCGACTCATGCGCTGTTGGCCGTTTGTTTGCCAGGGTACACAGAGAACAGTTCGGCTGCTGGCACCACGACGTCGGCGTCGGGCTCAGGGCTCGGCAGCCTGCATGGAGGCAGCGGCGGCAGCGGCGGGGGCGCGGCGCTGGGTGGCTCCGGCTCCGGCGCTGACCAAGTGCGGCGCTACCGTACGGCGTTCACCCGTGAGCAGATCGCGCGCTTGGAGAAGGAGTTCTACCGGGAGAACTATGTGTCACGGCCCCGCCGGTGCGAGCTGGCCGCCGCGCTCAACCTGCCCGAAACCACCATCAAGGTATCGATTCCAGTGCGTGCCTGCCCTGGCCTCCCCCGGGGCATCTGGGTTGATTTGTTTCTTTTTCCCCTTTCCCCTTTCAGGGTAGCTAGATTTAGCTGAGGGTCTGGAAATCCGCGGGGGGTAGTCACCAAAGGAATTGCTTATTTCTTTCTTGGCTACCGAATACGAACGGTTGTCCGGCCTGACAAATCTAAGAAGGCCCCCGAATGGTGGCTCCAATGCTGAAAACGCTCGCCTCTGCTCCACTGTGCCCAACGCCTGCCCAGATGCCCCCAGCCCGTGCCCATGGCCCCACTTTTTCCTAGGCGGCAAACCCGGCTGGTCTTTGTTCCTCAAGCAGGAACCAGAGGCGAAACTTTTCATTTGCTCTTGATCTTGGAGATTTATTTTCCGCATAAATCGTTACATGGAGAAAAGGATACTATATTTTTAAAATCGATTGGCTTGAGACAGTAGTTTCCTAAACATTTTCCTCTTGGGCAATGGGAAAAGGGCAACCTCCTAGGGGGAAAAACAACGAAATTGTATATATATATATATATATATATACACACACACACACATATATATGTATATATATATATACACACACACACACATATATATGTATATATATATATATATATACAGATATATATATATATATATATATATATATATATATATATATAACTTTAGGTTATTAATTTTACTATACGTCTGGGAGAGATAGCCGGGAGGTTAGGCGATTTGGTGAGCCCTTCATGGAGCATTCCACATTGCAGAAAAAGAAAAAACTCCACAGGGTAGGGGAGGAGTGTGGAAGTCTTCCTCTGGTTTTATCGGGCTTTCTTTAATTTAGAGTTGTGACGAATGATGTCTTTATTAGAGAGTGTGGGGAGGAGTGGAAACGTCCCCTTCCCCGTTTATGGAGACATTGGTCTAGCCACTCATTTAAGGCAAACGATTCCAACAAAATCATCCTTTCGATATCAAAATCGGACCCGTGCCCCTAGGGGCAGGTCCTTGAGGTTCGGAGGGCTCAAGACTTCGCACGGCGACCTCTCAGAAAAACTGAGCCGCAGCCTCTCTTCAAAGGCTGCCCAGAATCCCCGTGCAAATCCTGGGATTGAGAGACGGTTGCTCGGCGAGGCCGGCACTGGTGGGTGGCGGCAGGGAAGGAAAGGTTGGGTTGGGACAAGAAAGCGCAGCAAGAAGTAAGGGAGCAAAACGCCCGATGAGCCCCAGCAGCCCGGCTCGGGGGAGGACTCTCTTCGCTGAGGACGGTGTGCCTACTGCGGTCCACACACTGCCGTCCACACTTTCCCAGCTGGGAGAGGAGAGTGGACTCGGGGTTGGGCTGGTCGAAGAGAAGTAGGCCAAGCCATTCCGAGGTCCAGGAGGGGCAGAGGTCCCGGGATAGGGGCCGGGAACATGGGGCGCTCCCTAACCCGGCTGCGGCGCGTCTCTCCCCGCAGGTGTGGTTCCAGAACCGCCGCATGAAGGACAAGCGGCAGCGCCTGGCCATGTCCTGGCCGCACCCAGCCGACCCCAGCTTCTACACCTACATGATGACGCACGCGGCAGCCACCGGAAGCCTGCCCTACCCCTTCCACTCGCACGTGCCGCTGCACTACTACCCGCACGTGGGCGTCACGGCGGCGGCTGCTGCGGCTGCAGCCTCTGGCGCAGCGGCCGCGGCTTCGTCGCCCTTCGCTACTTCCATCCGGCCGCTGGACACCTTCCGAGCCCTCTCGCACCCCTACTCTCGGCCGGAGCTGCTGTGTAGCTTCCGCCACCCTGGTCTCTACCAGGGTCCCGCGGCAGCCGCCGGGCTCAATAGCGCGGCCTCCGCTGCAGCGGCCGCGGCAGCTGCAGCGGCTGCGGCCTCCTCGGCGGCAGCGGCCGGAGCGCCCCCAAGCGGCGGCTCCGCACCCTGCTCGTGCCTCAGTTGCCACAGCAGTCAGTCGGCGGCAGCAGCTGCAGCAGCAGCTGCCGCAGCCCTGGGCTCCCGGGGTGGCGGTGGTGGCGGTGGTGGCGGCGGCGGCGGCGCAGGTGCCGGCGGAGGCTCGGACTTCGGCTGCAGCGCGGCGGCGCCGCGTTCTGAGAGCGGCTTCCTACCCTACTCGGCCGCCGTGCTTAGTAAGACGGCCGTGAGCCCGCCGGACCAGAGGGACGAGGCTCCGCTCACCAGATAACTACGTCGCCACCGCCAGGGGGCCGCGCCTACCGCTCTGAGTGCGCCCGGGAGTCCCCTGTGCGCCCCGGCGCCCTCCGTGCGCTGCCCGCTGCTACCGCTGCCGCCAGGGGGCGCCCCAGGGCCCAGGAGGCCGAAGGGAACCTACCCCGAGTTGGGGGGGAAGGAGCAAAAGCCTGGTGGGGGTCCCCCTAAATTATTTCTATTTTTGTATTTGCCACCCAGCCGCCTACACTTCTCTCTGTTTTCTGGCTCCAGGCCCCACTTTCCACCTCTGTCCTGAGTGCTTGACTCCCCAAAGACAATCCCCATTGTCCCCTAAGCTAGTCCTGGCTGTGCGCTGTCAGGCCCGGGTTGCTCGGTTGCACCGCGTGGCCCAAAGCAAAGGAGAACCACAACAAAGAGAGAGGGGGATGTTGTGCGCTCGTGTTTGGAGGCGGGGTAGGAGTCGTCCCCGAGGTTTCTCGCTGCTGCTCTTTTTATTCCATATTTCCTTTATTTTCTTTAAAGGAGGGTGGGGGAGGTGGCAAATGTTCTTTCAGCCTGAGCTCGTTAGGGACCCTGCCCGAAGAGAGCGGGAGAATGGAGGTCTGAGAAGGCCGGGAGGGCGGATGGAGAGCGTGGGCAGTGGCGGGTGTGTTTGTGAGATTGTTTATTGCGTTCAGGAGCAAGGCGGGTAGGGCTGTGGCCGCCTTCCCTGGGAAGGACGAAGCCGAAGTGGGAAGGGGTGGCCGTCGCGCCTCCTCCTTCTCGGTCCTACACCGTTCCCTCTTTTGGTCTTTGGTTTTAGTGCTGATAGAATGGAAGCATCTTGCATATTTTGTGCAAAAAATGATGGCAAAAGAGGTTGCCACAGCCAGGCCAGGGAAGGGACAGGAAGGGGGTGGGCGTGGGGGTGAGGGCAAGACTGATAGAGCGCTGTAGTATTTGGAGAGGCGTTTTCAGCTCAGTTTTTCAACTACCGGGTTCCACTCGATCTGGGAAATACTTGAATCCCTAGATATAGTAATATTATCCTAAAGCATTTCCTTAGACACTTTTCTAAGTTCGAACTCTCTATGCCCCTCGTCCCCTTCCCTCTTCGCTTTCCTTTTTCTTGGGTGAAATGGTTCTTGGCATATTTCTCACGCATGTCTGTTGCGCCTTCGCCTCTGCAAAGCCACCGCTGGGTTGCTGAGACCCGCTCTGCCAACCTGGCTACTGGAGGGGTTTCCTTGAACTTGAAGAAAGGTACATCAAAACCCACCAGTGTTAACTGCCACGTCAATTTTGATGCTAATAATGTGCAGATTATGACGAAAATTGCCAATCATGCTCTCTGATGGACCTCCTTTGAATGTGGAATTGGAGAAAAGTTCCCCGCACGGAGACCTGCTGTCAAGTACTAACAACCCGCTAAGGGAAGTCATTAGGAGAGACGGATAAGAGACTCGGTACATAAAACATTGTTCTTGGTGCATAGAATGTATGTTATTTAATGTTATCTCTGTTACCTGAAGTGATTTCGCAGAAGAAAGCCACGTTCTTATCATCTCAATTGCCAATTTTCATTTTGGTAACTTGGACGCCCTGGGTAGACTTTTCTCTGTTAAGTTGATATTCCACGAATGTGAACAGCCTCATTAAATCAAGCCCAGATATTTCCATAATGCTCCCCGCAGAGCCACTTCGCTCCTCACATAATGAGATTTTCTGAAGAGTTGAAGCCCTAAAATAACTTGCTAGTGCATGTTTAGGCCCAGCGAAGTGGTATGTGTGTGTACGTGTATTAAAATGTAGGTATGCTACCTACATGTGTATGTGTATATATATGTATATGTATGTATATGCATATATATATCCGTGCTCTTAAACAAATACATATGTGAGAGAGACACACATATTCATTTATACATACACATTGGCACTATTTTCTGTGTTTTATTTCAAATTTGTGTCCTGACATTTTATTGTTATTTTAAAGACACTGGATTTTAAAATATCATTTCCTAAATATAGGCTTTCAGTAAACTTTTGAAAGAATTCGTTTTCCAGGAGAAATTATTATTTCCATCAAATGGAAAATATTTCAAGGGGAAACAGTATTTCAAATTTCCTGAAGTCTATTAAAATATTCCCATAAAATATAAGAGAACTTCCCAGTGAAATAGCAATGATCTAAAGCTCAAGTTTTTGTTTTTGTTTTTAAAGACATGAGACTACTTATGTAAAATATTGATTATACCAGCTCTTATTCACCGAGTTTACATTTTTAAAAATATTAATATATAATTTAAGGCTAAATAAAATAAACCAAAATATGGTATCCTTTATCAGCTTTACCTTTTTAGATTGTTAAAGTCCTTTGTTATGATCAGCTAACAGATGTATATAAGGTACTTTAGGCAATAATGTTTACATTTTCCCCAAAAAATATATATGATTGATGAGAACGCTGGTTGGTAAAATTAACATAAATTCATCATATGTTGGGTCCATTGGATCTGGTTATTATATTGAAATAAAACTGTAAATAAAGTCTTCGTGCTTTAAATATTGCTGGATGTATGAACTCACTGTAAGATATTTTACAAATGTGCAATAATTATAAAGCTTTGTATATTACGTTATTTATTGTGTTTGGTCATGTAAAATAAATGTTATTTAAATCAAGGCAATTTTATTTGTTTAAGAGATTGCAAAATGGTTTGTGCTGGTGTTTGTTTTTAACTGTGGCATCTAGGGTTATGAAAATCTCTTAAAACCACATATTTAAATCCATATAATACACATATCAGATGGATTAATTCATTCTAATCATTATTTTTACGGCAAATACATTACTCATGTTTATAGGAGACATGCACTACGTCCAAACATTGGTTTAACATTAATTGGCTGGCTAAACAGATAAGAGTGTTTAGGAATAGTGTGTGTGTGGATACACATTGTAGAAGACATGCCGTCATATATATAGGGAGTGTGTACCCAGGGTTAGGAGCTGTTTATGTTTGCAGTACTACATGGTAAACAAAATTAATTCCTCCATCTAATTAACTTGCCCATTTTTATTCTCCCCCATAGGAAGCAAATATTAACCTTTAATTTAAGGGAAAAGTTCACACTTAATAGGAGCTTGAAAGCACCAAGTACCTCCTCTCTCCCGGCTTGGCCCTTCCTTACTAGTCCCATCTCCTTTGGTCTCTTTCAGGGGTGTACAGCGCATTCTTTAAACTTAAGTAGTGTTTCTGTTTGTTGAGGATACAGGATGCTGTGATAATTGGCTATGAGTATTTCAAGTAACTTGATATTAAAAAACTATTTCCCCCCTTTCTTCTTTCTTTTGCATTGGTACTTCAGCCCTGTTTTTCTTTACCAATCCTATATTCTTTCCCAAGTTCAGTCCACCTTCTCGTGTATTTACAGATCTGCCTTAAAATCGATATTTCGATGGCAAAATGCAAGAGTCAATGGTGTGTGCAAAGCAGTCTATTTCTATTCGATTTAAAAACCAAGATGTCCCTTCCTCGAAATTTTCTTTTCCCAACTGCTCACCC